GTGAACATATGACCGTATGTATGTTGCCTTGTGTGCGTAAGTGTTGATGCCTGACGGTGTAAATATATGATTATACGTGTGTATGGATGCAAGGGCTCGTCCTCGTGCCGTCAGAAATCTTGTCGAGCCATGATCGTTGAAGCACAAGGACCAGCGTTGTGGCGCGTCCGTCTCTTTCGTTTGGGAGTAATGTGCTAATGATGGATGTATGTGGCATCAGTTTATCTTTTTCTTTATCAATGGTTTTGTCGGGAATGTTGTCCGCGGTCTCCATCGGTCCACCCAGCTCGTTCCTCTCCTTTTGAAGGATGTAAACAGGAACTTCTCCGCGCATCGATTGATCGAAAACGCGTAACTCTTCCGACAACCCTTCACTCCCTTCATGTTGATCATCTCGCGAGTAGGCTTTTTTTTTTTTTTTTCTTACAATCGTTTCACTTGACAAGATTTTTGCTCTTCTTGTCGCTAGCGATACCAATCGTTGTGCATCTCTCCAATAAATTTTGTTGATGTCACTCGGAGTACGACTCCATCCTCTGAGCTTGGAAGAAGTTATTCCCGAGCTCTTCCATTAGCTTCCAGAGTAATCCCTCACCCCGAGGAACATTGAAATTGAAAGATACTTCGAAATAATCCGGGGAACTAAAAAAATCTGGTCATGAATTTTTTACGAGACAAATTGATTGCTCACATACTTGTTAAAACTGTTTCCAAATCTTCGATCTACTTCTTTTCATAGTCTCTAAGGGATCCTCTTGCTAATATTTATCAAATCAACACAGGACTTCCCTTAAACCACCAGCACTTGGCCCAGCTATCATTGCCGAGGCTGGAATCCCCCTGCGCGCCAATATTTGCCGAAGTGCCAAGGTTCCGTTTCAATTTTTTTTGGCTGCCGTTTCCAGCCATTGAGGTCCGGTACCCCGAAGCCCGAACTGCGCGTAGCGTTAACGGCAACGGCCCGCGGCCAATGTATGGGCCAAGTACTGGTGGTTTAAGGCGTTCCCGAATTTTCTTGGTAGAGGCAACTTCGTTGCACTACAAGAACACCAAAAAAACCCAACTCAGCTTTTCGCAAAATAGCTAAAGTGAGATTCACCACGAAATGTCTGGTTTGTGAACAATGGATGTGCGCGCGTCGGCCATGTGAACCGCGCGCCAGCTGAACCATCGGGACGTCAGCTTCTCGAGCCTCCTCAGCCACGGCCCTTCTCGTATAAGGAGGACAGGACACGTGTCTGTAAGTGGGATGTACAAGAAGTTGTTGCCAAGATAGGCAGCCCTCATTACTTTCCGTCGGCTGCCCGTTGTTTAGGATTTGTAAATGCTGGATTTGTGATAATTGATATTCACTTTCCCCCTTATGCTGTGTTACTTCCCTTCATCAAGTTGATCGTCGTCCCATGGCCGACTAGTGCAGCCTCCTGGCGTCGTACTTTGTGCAGCGATTGTCGCCGCACAGAGCGCTTTCAGGCCAAGGGATTCCACTATCGGACATCCCCTGCATTCTCCCATGCAATAATCTCTTCCCCCCATTTGATCCCTAACGTCTCCCCCTCCCCAACCCCCATCATTCTCATCTGCTTCACACTCCCATCTCTCTCCCACGCAGTTCTCTCTCCCACACCCCCGTCGTTTTGGCCTCCTATCCCCCTCGTGTTCCCGTCTCCCCTTCGTGCCCTTATCTCGCGTGTATTCCTCCCAGCCCTCGGCGTTGCCACTTTCACAACCCCCTCTTATGCCACAGTTCCCTCTGCAGTCCACAACAGTCTGGCCCAACCTTTCCCCTTCTCCTTCGTCCTCTCCTTCATGCCTCCCACCTTCCCTAATCTCCACCCCAATCCATGCAAGATTCCCCCCCTTGCCAATTGCCCTAGTCTCCCCACGCCTATCTTTCCCATGGCCCTAGCCTTCCTATCCCCCCTATCTTCCCCTGGGCTTCCTGTCTGGACTGTTCTCTCAATAGCCCTCATCGTCCCCATTGCCTTATCCTCCCCATCTGCCCACGACTTCCATTTCCACCCGACATCCTCCCAACTCACTGCAAAGTCCCCTGTCTCTCCTCCCCATCTCCGTTTCCCTTATTGCGATCTCCCCCCTGTTCACCTCAGTGACCTCACCCTGAGAGGTGGTTAATGGAGGCCTGAAGTTTTAGAAATCCCTCATGCCGTTTGTAATGAAATCCCTGTTAACCAATTGTGCTCATCCTCTTACCTCTTTCTCCCCCTTCCCCCCCTTGCCATCGCTACCAATCACCTTGGCCACCCCATATTTCCCCTTCTCCTCCTGGCTTCCCCTTCCGCTCACCTCAATTTTCGCACCTCTCACCTTGCCTCCACATTCCGTCCCGATTCGTTCTCCAAACAATGTGATTCACCACCTTTAGCATGTCTTCCCAATCTCTCCCCTCCCCTTGTCGCCCAGCTATTGAAGCGATCCTGGAAATGCCCTGTGCACCACCAAAAAAACACACCAACCGACGCAGAGGCCTCATTTTGGCTGGTGGCGCCAGCCCCCGAAAGTTGTGCCTGTAAATAATGAGTCATATATTTCTTTTCGAGCGGGGAAAGGTACAGGTGGTTTAACCAATTGTGCCTACCCTCTACCCTCTAACCTCTTGTCCCCTTGTCGTTTGACCAATTGTGCTTACCCTCTCACCTCTTCCCCCCCTTCCCCGCACCCCTCTTGTGATCGCTACCAAAATTACCTTGCCCACCCCATCTCGCCCCATTTCCCCCGGGGCTCCCCCCCTTCCGCTCACCTCAATTTCCACACCTGCCAACTTGCCTCCATACCTCGCCCCAGCTCCCTTTCCCCCCAATTTAATTTGGCTACTTTCGTGCGGCTTCCCAATCTCTCCCCTCCCCCTGTCGCCTTAACCTCCCCATTGATTCGAGCCCCCTCCTGACATCACCCCACCATCATTTCCACCCCACTCTCTGGCCTTTCCAATTCTTTCGAAGTCACCTTTGGCCCCAATCCAACTGTCACCATAGGTGATAGCTCTCACCTGTGCGAGAGACATCACAATTGCGCCCAATCCAACCATTACATGGCAAGCGCGACATCACAATTGGGCCCAATCCATTACAATTGGGCCCACAAAGGGCTACAGAAGTCCAAAGCCACGACAACCAAAAGGTAAAGCACTGCAACACCCTGTAAGAAGAAACTGATCCCCAAATAACTCGGTCCGTGCCGTGAGGGGGAACTATCTCCCCACTTATAGTTTAGCAAAGCTTGTGTACATACACTGGAACACGCAGCTCCTCTGCCGACTTTCACTAAATGGCGAACAGGTGCTGAAGGGCGACAACAAGGGGGTGCGAAATGCCCCACTCTGAGCAGCAGATGCGCAATCCAAGCCTTCTCGGGATGGGGCTTCTTCTCCCTTCACTTTAGGCTATTGATGCCCACTCCATACTAGGAGCGAGGGAAGCCATGACCGCGGACCCCATAGCACTTAGAAGCTCAAGGCGGTGAGGGTCGGTTACTCGACCTATGGGGGCCGATCACTTATAACTCATGAGCAGGAGGATCGCCATCCACATCTGCAACAGCGAGGAGCTCGTCCGGATTGGGAAACAGGCAGGGTAAGAGGACGCAGCAGTCAGACGCAATGGTATGTCCGCCCGGGATCAATGATATGATTGCAAGAAGGAGATCTCGTATGGCGACCGGTTCACAGTTCCCCACACACAGGTCACTCGGACGGGAACAGCGACTTTGTCAGGGCTCCTTATCACCCATCCAGGGAGTGGCGAGGGGAGAGTGGCCCCCATGATAAGCTTGCGAGTTTGCAGCCGGTTCGCACACAATGACATGCCGGAACCCTTCTTCAGAATAGCAACAAGACAAGACGCAAAGATATCATGATAACGGGGCTTTTACTTGCGCAGTACCGTTATCATGAAGAACCATCACCATCCACACTACTGGTAGTGATACCTATGCTTCTGCCCCTCTACTACTCAGGTAGAAAAGTGCACTCACACTCGTTATTATGAAGAACCAACCATTGCCATCCACATTACCAACACCTCTCTCTCTCTCTCTCTCTCTCTCTCTCTCTCTCTCTCTCTCTCTCTCTCTCTCTCTCTCTCTCTCTCTC